TAGTAGTAGTAGTAGTAGTAGAGAGTAGAGTAGAGAGAGAGAGAGAGAGAGAGAGAGAGAGAGAGCTGAAAAATGTTTATTTATTCTTGACGTATTTGTTCATTATTTTAAACAAAATGTATGTATTGTCTGTGTAGACTTTTCTGTTTTTGTTATTTTTTTCTCGCTTATGTATAATCGAATTTTTAATTTCAAAGTTTTGTTAAAGTAAAATTGACGTAACATTGAATAAAGTACTTTGACGCAAAAGATTTGGTTTGCTAAGAATTTCTATTCAAAATCTCTTTTTTAATTCATATATGTAACTGCTGTAAGTTATTGAAATCTTGATCTTTTCGTAAAAATTACCTTTTGAAAGAATATCCGTATCGCCTTCCAGCCTCAATGGCGGTAAATAATTTTGTTTCATTCACGTTTCAGTACCCAGCTATCAGTGCAACATGTCGGTCACTTCTGTGCAACCAGCCAGCACCGAGAGCCTCTCCCGCCACGGGTAAGTCATCGTCGTCATCGTCGATTTAATCCTTTCGTATCGGACATCGGATCAGAGCGAACCGGATCGGACAACCGCGACTTGTAATTGCAAATATCCGACGTGCCCCCATCTCGCGCGCGAACGGGTTTTTCTGTTACGGAATGCGTATCGACATTAGGCGGATTTTCCTGCCGCAAGAAATCGCAGCATGACATTAATATGAATTTCAGATTGCCTAATTGAAATATCCCGACCTTCGTGTGTAACTTTTTTTCGATAAAATATAGCCTTCGATTCGGAGATAAAAGCGAAACGTACGGGTGGCATTTTAAATTAAATGTGCGATTATAGCGGGGGAGAGTCCCATTATCTTGCAAAATTTATCTTGCACATAGAAATATATGGAAATACGCGTGCACATGGAAATGTGTTACCTAATGAGCAGCAAATAATAGACATCTTGTCGTCGGAATTGAAATGTTAAATCTTTGGTCAGTATGTTATGTAATCCATAAACCGTATCGCGGTTTCGACAATATTAATTTCGTCGCGGCTAATTAGCATTAGATACCAACGTTGCGATTTTAAATGCGGAATGTGATGTAACGGGAGAGGGATGTTTTGCGGTTTGTCCAATGTTAGCCAGCCAATGATTTCGTTTCCTGTTTCCGTCGAAAGCCGCGGCGCCATAACTCGACTTCCTACGCATTGCGTGCGCCGGAAATGTCAATCGAGGGATATTGAAGGCGATTTGACATCGTTACACCTCTATCAAATTGAAATCATTGCCTGCTCGTAGAAAATAAAAAAAAAAAATTACGACGAATTTGATGGAATTGGATGAATGGAACGAAACTCTTGATTATTATTATTGATATGATTATCTCGGAAATACCACGTTTTAAAGTTTTAAATCTTAGTGCGGAATCGATGAATTTCGAATTAAGTAAATTTGTCAATAAATCGTGATTTAATTGTTATTTAAAATATTTCTTGAAGTTATTTTTAACGATAATCATTATTTCACTAATTATTCCATAATTATCGTTACGTCACGCAGGAAATATTATAATAAAAATTAATATAAATGATAGCTTTTATCATTCTGAAATATATCTACATGGAAAAAATAGTTTTGTTAATATATTTAAAAATTATGCAACGCGCACAGGTCTGAAAATAATTTTGTCAAACTGCCGAAATGATTACATAAGATATTCAAATCGGTTGTTAGGATATATTAATAATTTTTACAACATTATCATTTAAGCGTCTTATGTAACTATTCTGAATACAATTATTTTCAAGTTTGAAATTTTTTTTTTTATAATGATGAAATTATTTTTTTATGGTTACAATATTTTTATTAAAAAAAATATATATCACGTACATCTGCACGAAGAGATTGTTTGAGTTTATTTATTTTTTTTTTTTTTTTTTTTTTTCTTTTACCAGTTGTGTTAATCAACGTGGCGCAGTTTCCGACGCTCTTGACATTCGTCATGCGATTTACGATCATTCAGAAAAATCTCCGTTCTCTCGGCCTTTGTTCCCCCTGTGCCTACCTATCTATCTTCGCGACCGAGCAGGCGCAAATAGGAGTGTACACTGGGCTCATTATGCGTGCGTTCACGTCGCCGTCACGTGAAAGTAAACGTTTTTTTTTTTTTTTTTCCTCCTGATTACCATACGCGCACGCTCATTCGAGTTAATCGCGGCTCGGCCGCGCGCGCGCGCGCGCGCGCCGCCCGACAGGTTCAAGGCAGTTTGCTCGCGTATCTCTCTCATCCTTTGGTCTCCTCCGACAAGTCATACCTCTGGGAATTACGGAGCGAGTGTCTCGCAGACATCTAAACTCGCCAGACGGAACTCTTGCGCGTGGACTCTTGGGACTGTGAACCCTCTCGCGTTCCGCGTCTCTTCTCCTTGATGACGATTCGAAGGGTACAGAGTCCCCGAGAGAGATTGAGGTCGACGTTACGTAAGGAGAATTTTGCAAACGATCGAATATATCGAAATTAGCATTAAGTTGTACTTGTCTAACGAATCGAATAGATAAACAGGTTTTTTTTCTTTCTTTTCAAAGTAGCAGTGGAACAATAACGTTTTAATTATGAAACAGTTACGTTAGATACTTGATTTTCTGCACTGTCACTGTATGCATATACAGTGTCTGAAGTCGAAGTGACGAAGAAAGGAAAAAGAAGGAAGTAGAATAGAATTTATTTCATAACTCAAATGATGAAAGGTTATTTTATAGAATGGAAGAGAGCAAGAAATAATTACGACAGCAAACTGCGACATCGCGTACAATAAAAAACGTGTAGGCGAAAGAATTTTAAAATAGCTTCGCGAGTTTCGATGAATATTATTCATTTCCCGGCGTAAAATTGATAATCATCCTAATCCTAAACGAATTATCGTTTTTTCCGTTTATAGGAGCAACATCTCGTTGTCCTGCCATAGCCTGTGCGGGAGTGTGGACGACGGTCTACAAGGCTCGCATCCCCAATACCAGGACACGATCCTTACAATTGAGGAGCTGCGCGCTCAGCTAAACTCCTGCTTTACGTAAGTATATATTTTTGCTCTTGCTGTCGTACGAATACGCCGGATCCGACAGACCGTGGGAATTAATCAAGGGATTACGCAACCACGTTATCGAGTGACGTGCCGTCTGGACAATGAAATCCGGTACGATCTGGAGCACAGCGATTCTAATCTGTCGCGCCGCGCCACGACGATATTTAATTCTTTTTCTCTTTTTGCCAATTCGAGAGAAAACTTTCTCGCGAAGATCGCGTTTTTCGACTCGTGTAAAAAAGACGAGAGGCGGGGAAGTCGTTTCTCTTTCGTTAATTTCGTTAATTTGGATAGAATTCGAGGATGGCTATCAATATGGAATGCAAGAAATGAGGCTAGTAGGTATGCCCAGTGTTTATCTGGCGACACGGTTATTCCCGGGTAAATCGATGTCCTACATTCGGCATATGCAACCTCGATATGCAACACGCGGTATTTCCGCGAAATACTATACGGTCATCGGCTCAATTAATCAAAACGCAAAAATGCTCGATATGCCGAGAGAGGGATATCCTGTGTCCGGCAGAAAATTTCTTCTGGATTATTCTCGGGTCTCTCCTTCACCCGAGAATAAAATTCTCGATTCCTCGTCGCGATTAATCTGCAATTTTTCTCTCGTAAAAATTTCTCCGTCGCTCCAGTTTTATACCTGTCGATTATTTCAACCGCGATATATCGGGCTCTTATCGCGATCTTGTCAGCGAGCGTATCCGCGCGAACCGGATAAATTTCTCAATTTTTGAATTATGCGGCCTTGTCTCCTTTGAAAGACACCGTCCTCCCGACGACAGTGAGGATTCGCGATGCAGATCACCGTGTTCTCCGCGAGCAAATCCGCGTCGCGGCTGGCTTCCGTGTCACGCCTCTCTGACATCAGCATAATTGCGACGTGTGTATTCACACACGGCGATTCATTATCTTATTTTCTGCGCAGATGCGGAGTATCGTGGAGCGAGGAGCACGTCTCCTTGGATTGCAGCGAGTGCGGCGGTTACTCCCTGCAACGGCCCTGTCCGCTCTGCGACGGCCGCTGCCACACCGCGTGGAAGCGTGACCTCACCATGGTAAATGTCCGCCCTATGACCCTTCCCCCTCCGAAAAGAATGAACAAGTAATGACCTCGACCCTGACATTGATTTCTCTTTTATTAAATCATCAATTAAACTTATCATATTTTTTTTATCACTTATTTCCCTTTTGATTTTTATTTGGTCTGAGCATCCGACGAAATGCAATATCAAATTCTTTCGTTCGCATGCTCGAGAGCCAAGGATCCGAATTATTTTGTAATATTAATTTAATTGCCGATTCGGCAATAATTTTGGCTTTGGCGTTGAAAACAAAGACATAATAAAGTAAACTTTCCTCATTTTGATTCGAAATCTAAAAGCCAAATCTGCAAGTGAATTTACGAGATTCCTTCTCATTGCAGTCTCATGCGAGTGGTAAGGCGAGATGGATCGGTGAGTGCGGACTGAGCTGCGGACCTTCCCTGGAAGAATCGTTGGTGCCCGCTCTGGAGAAACTGCGGGCCACCTCGTGAACAGCGCTGGCCCGAGCACCGCCAACCATGCACAAGACTTAAATCCATCACCATCCATCTAGCGTCACCCATCACCATCGCGTGTGAGACCCAAGAGAGAAAGAGAGAGAGAGAGAGAAACGTGTGAATGTGGACCGCGGATGATATGCATTATGTTCCTGAGGAGGACGGCTGACAAAGAAGAAAAAAGGACCTGTTTCACAGAGTCCTTGTGGCTTCTTCCCTGAGGACACAAAGCCGTACTCAGCCTGGTCCCTCGACATCAGGGACCACTATCGTCATCATTATCACCTTTGAGGCGAAAGTACAAAACTGCGCGATCGACGTCCGAATTCTGAAGAATTTTTATGTTATTATTATTATTATTATTATTATTATTAACGTTGTAGTGAATTATCTTAAATACTACTCATACCGAGAACGGACTCCAATTTTTCCGGAGGGTTTATACTAATTCAGTGTTGCGAAATTCATTTCGGTTTTTTCTCCGGTGACTTTTGATCAGAATCAAGATTAACAATGTTTCTATAAGGAATTTTATCTTTTCGAATGATTTTTTGCCAGTAAAATTGTTACCATTTGATTTGAAAAAAACTTTTTTGCAAAGTAAATTTCTTTGAGAAATAAATTGCCAAGGAAAAAAGTCTTTCTGTTCGAGAATATGTAGACGTATCGTTCTCGAAGCATGATTGATTATTCTTTGATATTTTTTATGAATAGTAGATTCTACATTTGGACAATTGGATACAAAAGTACAGCATCCCGATCTTGAAATAAAAAAGTTAAAAATGAATTGAAAACACTTTGGTAATTCCCTTTTTCTGATTTATATATAAAATTCAACATGCAACATTTTATAGGAAAAAAAAAATTCAGATAGAATAACTTTGGCAGTTGTAATATCGAAATGTCATTTTTATATTTCATTTGACTGTGGTAATAATGATGTAATAGAATTGAATTTTTCGATGTGACTTCCGCGCGGTGTATGTTAAATAAAAGAATGCATCTGAATCAGGTCAGTTTAGAAAATAGCATAAATTAATAATTTTTCAAAATTAAAATAATCGAAAGAATTATTAACTATCATTTGAAAGAAATATTTTTACATATTTCACAAATAACATTATTATTTTTAAAATAATTCTAATTCCTAAGTCCAAAGCGTCTAAAAAGCGACCGATTTACTGCAGAAAATTTATTTTTTTTACCGCGAATTATTAATTATTTTCAAGTTTTTATATAACCAAAATCGCTATATTTTTTCAAAGCGCTAGATTCGCATCATTCTTACAAAGATTGCAGCTTCAGTGCAAACTTTTATGACGATAGTTTAAGATCTTCGATCGTTCCTACAATAATGCAAGAGAAGCTTGATCTTTATTTTACTTTTTTACGTAACGAGAGTTACACCTCGGCCTTTCTGTCGCACGAAAGAGTGCAACTTTGCATTACGCGAATTCTAGGATAATTATTAGGCGACAATTAATCGAACGAGCGATCTGACAGCGATAAGCCCATTTCGGGCTTTCGCGCGAGAGCACGACGTATCGATTTTGTAGGTAAATAATTATTCGATATCCTTCGCTTTCGATTGTCACAACTGTATCATTGGCGAAATAATTTCGAGCTTGCGATTGTATACGATAAAAATTTAGTCAAAGTTTTGCCTCTCTAGCGAGGACACTTAGCGTTAACGTGATGTGAATCAATCGTCATAGTCCTAAGGATCGATAGGCAATCGATGTGTTACAAATTCGAAAAATATTATTTCTATAAATAGAAATTAGAAAATTTATCATTCAAAGCGCTCTTGTATATTAAAATTGGTACGGCGAGAAAAAAAGAATACATAACTATACTGTCTTTATTCGTAACGAGAAATTATGCGAATCTCCTTGGGTCTATGAAAATTTGAAAAGAGCCAGTTGTATTTATAGCGTTTCTCGACAAAGATACGTCTTGCTCGCTTTCCTGCCGAATTTTTCAGCCAAGAAATTCAGCATTATGAAGGAAAAACTCGACCCTAAGTGCGTGAGTGTCTCACGTAGTTCAACAATTGTGCACTCGACACAAAGAAAATTATGAGCGCTGAAATGTCATTTTTTGAAAAAGAAAATTCGAAAAATGAAAATCGAAGTTATTTTTTCTTTTAATTACATAATGCGAATATCTATATTTTAAATATCTTAGTAGAAAAAGGCAGATTTAATAATTTAAATATACTTTATATATAAATGCAATTTGCTCTTATATATTATTGTTATTATAGCGCTCGCAGAATTTTTTGCGTCGAGTTATTTTGGAAAGCATTTACGTCGTGCCAATGACTTTTTCGGATTTCTATTATTGTTTTATAAGACTCCCGCGTGCCGAAACCTTTCTTAGTGAAATGTAGGAACAAAAAAATGTTTTCGGATGTTTACGATTTTGCTCGGTAACGTATATACTACATATATATATTGCGAGTGCGAGTATACATGCTCATCAAACACACATTCATTTATTAAATTAAACTATAACGTGTAAAAATTGTCTGGAGTATTAGCTCGCGGTGAGCTTTAGTTTAATATTTTAGAAAAAGCCCTCGGTAGTAATTTTTATTTAATCTGCGAACTTCTTATTTATGACGAATACTGCAAAAGTATGGGTTTAATAAAGACTTGCAAAAAATCCACCGTGACTTATTAATGCGAATCTCTTTTATCCTCTTTTATCCTCTATTATCCTTCCATTCATTATAAATTTATTATAAATTCTCAGAAGTGTGATACATATATATTTTTTTTATATTTCTGTTATCTTCTATATTTATACATTTATAACATTATAACATTATTTTCTCGTGGAAGAATGATTTTGTTTATTGTAATCCAATATTTCGTTTTTATAAAATTATTTTATAATCCAATATTATTTCAGATTTTGTAAAAAATAAATCCTCTACTTAATAAATGATTTAATTCCGCTGAGTAAAAGGTGTATCAACACTTTATTTTCGCAATTTATATACATTTCCACCATGTCAAGTAACTCGTTCATACGATCTTTTTTACAAATAACAGCATTTTGTGTTTCTATGTCACGTATTTTAATGATATTTTATTTACTCATATTCTACGAAGTACATAATATCAATACAACACTGAAAGACAGACAACATAGAAACAGTTGTAAATAATAAAATTGAAACATAATTTTAATATTCCTTATTTAATGCCTTATCATTCTTTTTTATTTTTATCTAATATTTAATATCAAAATCAAGAAAAAATTAGCATTCTCTTTAAAAGAAAAAAAATACGTAAATTAATAAATTATAAATATTATTAGTCTATAGTTTTATAACACATCCTACAAAAACATAATATCAACAATTCTATGTCGTCGTCTTGTAAGTATACAGCCGCAACCGAAAATATAAAAAAGCATACTGTTAAATGATCTATTTAAAGAATATGTGTGCATATATAATCGCATTTTGCTCTTAAATAATATCCACAAATATTCCAATTATTTGCTCATTTTTTAAAACATAAGAGTTTGTACGAAGCGTTAATTATTACAAATATTCCTCAACGCTTCCAGAATATGCATTTTTACTATCGATTGATTTATAATTTTAAGAAAATATATATATATATATATATATATACTAACAAAATAATATTTAAAAATAAATTAAATTTTTCTGTATCTTCGTAATGACAAATGTACATAAATAATTGCATATATAAATGTTAAATTGACATCAAAAATTTTAAGTACAGTAATATAGCATCAAAGTATCATTGCCTGCAATAATAAATATAAGTTTAACATTATTACAGATCAATGCTCCATACATAAATAAAAATTAATTATGATTTTATAATAAATACTCACGTGCGCAAAAAGTGAACAATTAATTCAAGAAACATACTCTTGCTAGCAATTCTTAATAAGACTTCAAAAAAAACTTTCAAGTCTTATTATACATGAATTTATAACGCAAACGAAATGATGTTTGATCGAGTTCCTTGATGGTATTCCGTTATCATTGAATGCATTACTGTACGCGAGAGTACATTGTACTGTAGCCTGAGCGCAATGAAAACGTTTTTTTTTTATCAGATATCATTGTACTATATTATACAGGAGAAAAAACATTTCCTGAAAAATTTGTATTCTATACACTTCCTCTGTTACCGTGAATTGTTCTAGTTTTGACTATTACTTTATTTGTTGAATTGAGTACCGATTTCGCTGAGCGAGATCGAGTGTACTTTCTCACATAGATGAGAGAATAATAATCTCAGCACCGGCATCCTACGAGGACTATTAATCCTGCTCACGCAATTCGTGGCGCAAGCGAATGACAAGAATCAACTTTGGTGCACAATGAAATTCGTGTATGTATGTATGTATGTGTGTATGTGTATGCAATAAATTAACAGATTTGTTGCGTAATAATAGCGCTAACGCTAAGGATCGTCACGGCAACGATTCCGTTGTAATCTCGGTCTAAATAATGTTTAGCGTTAAGCTGCGATCGAGAATTGCGCTGAAACAGAAATTCGGTAGCGATTGATGAGAGTCCTAGAGCGATGGATTTTAATATTGTCCATTTGTAGAATTAATTTAATAGGAACGAATCGCTGGCGGGACTGTCGCGCATTCCTCTTGATTGAGTGTAGTATCGATAACTGGTCTATAGTCGAGAGACACCTTAAATAAACAAAATAAAATCAAAATTGTAGAATAGCAAAGTTATTAAAATGTTGAAATTAAAATGAACACTAATAAGACAAATTTATTAATTAATATGAATATTATACAAAATGTATTGATAAAGCGAGAAAGATTATTTTTTAACAGATTAATTTAGAAATGAGCAAAAAATACCTCTCCTGTTCTCGGATTGATCTTTGACAGTGTGTGCTTCCTCCAATGTTGATCGAGCGACTTTGGCTGTTGATTCTCGATCGGTTTACTATAGTCGTACTCATCGATTCTTTGCTTAAAATCCTCGCGAGCGTGCGCGCCGCGACTCTCCTTTCTCTTCTCGGCCCCCACGATAGTCTGCATCGCGTTGATCATGAGATTTTGCAGTTCGAGCGTCTCTATTAGATCGGAGTTCCATATTAAAGATTTGTCTGCGACCTTTAGCTCGTCCAGTTTCTTATAGAGATCAGTCATCTTCCGACAGCCTGTAAAAAAGTATAACGTTTTCAATCCAATTTTGTTATACAACACATGATTATAAGCAAACAATATGTATTGTCTTCTTTTTTTACCTTCTTGCAAGCTTTCGGCATCTCTGAAGACGGCTGCATGTGTCTGCATAGTTTTTTGCATAGTCAGCCTCAATTCCGCAGTAGAAATAGAGCCATTGGCGTTTCTAACCCAATCTAAATTAGCTACAGTCTCCTCGCCAGCATTCTAAAATATATAACATATTTATTTTATAAAAAAAAAATCAATGAAATATACTTTATATAAAATACTCGGAGATATTATAAGAGAAGTTATATTTGAAACAGTATAAACTTACGGGTTTCAAAGGTCCGATTGCCTCACCAGGCTTGTTTTCTTGGGCGATAGTTTTAGCGCAAGCACGTCCGAATACAACTAAATCCAATAAAGAATTGGCACCTAGACGATTGGCGCCGTGAACGGATGCACAAGCTGCTTCACCGCATGCATACAATCCAGGTACTACTCTGTCTTGATTGTTCTCCCTGATTAATACCTGACCTTTGTAATTCGTCGGTACACCTCCTGCAATTTAGTATAGTATTAGTATAATTAGTATAAAAATTACTAGATCAATCTCTTTTGTAAAACAATAAAAAATGTAAATTGCATCAAATAGTTTGTTGTGCTAATCTCATTGAAGAATTACCGTATGCATCGTCTTAACAAATTATTTTATCAATATATTTTTCTACTAAGAAAATACTCAACCGTGATGGCGTCATCGCAAAGGATGTCATCACGGTCTACGCATTTCCAACTGAAATTATCATACAGAATTAATTGAGAAAAATTTATTATGCAACAGTCGTTTTAAGCATTTCATTTTCAACATAAAAGTTAGATTCATTATGTAACATATCAATTTATATGTGAGATATAACACATAAAATTTATGTGTTTATAATATAAAAAATATTAAAATTCATAACTAAATATATTTTTATTAGTCCAAATGTCATCATTAAAAAATTAACGATTAGATTAGAAACTTCATCACTCTCTCGTTTAGTTATTCACGTACCCATATTGTAATGAACAGTTGGTATGACGGGGATAGGTTCTCGGGTCACGTCGACGCCAGCGAATATCATCGCCGTCTCAGAAATCCCAGGTAATCGTGCAGCCAGCTGTTCAGGTGGCAGATGATGTAGCTGCAGATAAATATGATCCTTCTCCGGTCCGACGCCTCTAAGCAGAGAAGAGAGAATGTATTTACCACAGATATTTTCGAAAATACGACGGAAAACGCGTCTTCACGGGCAATGACTCACCTGCCTTCCCTGATCTCCATTGTCATGGATCTAGACACCACGTCTCGTGATGCTAGATCTTTTGCTACCGGCGCGTAACGCTCCATGAATCTCTCGCCCTCACTGTTTATTAGATAGCCACCTTCACCGCGACTACCTTCCGTAATCAGGCATCCGGCACCGTAAATACCTGGAATAATTGTCGATTTATATGCAAATCAAGGAAGCATATAATTAGTTCTCTATATTGTATGATACGGAGCATTTGAAAACAATGCAAATATTTAAATACTACAAATTTATTTCATTTAGAAATATCCAAAGGATTTAATATTAATTTTAATTTCTCATTAATTAAGCGTCATTTCTATAACTGTTCCATAACTGTTCTGTAACTGTTTTGTACAAATCGCCAAAAGATATCAAATTTATTTAACAATATTTCAATGTTATATTATGATGTAATATAATTTATTAACTATGAATTGAAATACCTGTAGGATGAAATTGTACAAATTCCAAGTCTTGATTAGGCAGATTGGCTCTGGAGACCATGGCAGTGCCGTCTCCGGTGCAGGTATGCGCAGACGTGCACGAGAAATAAGCGCGTCCGTAACCACCGGTGGCAAGCACCGTGTTCTTAGCGTGAAGACGATGTAGCGTGCCATCCTCTAGGCAGAGCGCAATCACACCACGACATTCGCCATCTTCCATCAGCAAATCAAGCGCGAAGTATTCGACGAAATAGTTGCAGTCGTAGCTCAATGATTGGCCATATAATGTGTGCAGCAGCGAGTGGCCGGTTCTGTCGGCTACGCAACAGCATCGATGAGCTTGGCCACCCTTGCCGAACTTGAGGGATTGACCACCAAAGGCGCGTTGATAGATCTTGCCTGAAGGAAACGAAGGATAAAACTGGCAATTAATTTTCGTTAATATCATGACGTATTAATTTTTATTAATATTATCATAAAATATTAAGTATAATATGATCGTAAAGTATCATAAAACATTTATAAAAATTTATCAAAATTCTGTTTCTTTTTTTTTTAATTTAAATGTAAAATGTGAGTAAAATATTAAATATGTTAGTATTAAATGATTGTGATTTTAATAAAAGTGAGAACTAAATTTTATTACAAATTTTCAACGACTAAGTTTTATTACAAATCTAGTATTAAAATATGATGTATGAAATTTTAGTGATCTTTTATAATCTTTATGGTTCAAATTTGAATAGGAGTATTCTTAAGTTTTTTGTTTTAGATTTATATTTGTTTTATATTTAATTCTAGTTGCAAATTATGAAAAATAACTATATCAAAAAAGTCAATTGCGGCATTCAAAATTCAAGTTTAATAATAAGCGACAATCTTCAAGTGCATGGCAACCGAGTAATGACATTTGTTATTTCCACGGTGTTCCGAAAAATTCGCGTTTTATTTATTATTTTTTTGATCGCGGGGACAAAAATTCTTGCTTCCTACAATTATTTCTTACCCATAAGTAAGAATGTACTACATACATAAATACTAATAGGGCACGTGCATCTCTTTGGGATTATAATTAAATTATGGAAGACAATAGAAGAGATAATAATGAAGTAGAAGCGGTAGGAATAGAAAACGATGAGATCGCAGATCAACAAGAGAGCGGTTCTGATAATCAGTATCAACTGATACAAAGACCCCCAGCCAGCCGTAAACGCACGCGAGACGGGTAAGTTATGTAAACGCAAATAATCTGTACGTAATCTGTAGACGAATATCTTCCACATATCTTGACACATCTGTGTTCATTTTGCACAAAGAAAAAATGAAAGAGAAATATCTGATTGATCTAAAATTTTTGAAAATCCAAGAATGAAAAAAAGCATAATCACTCGCATAATTACTCGTATGATCGTATTATTTTCAATTTATTATAATTATACAACGTATATTTTTATACAGCGCTGGATCGCGTTCCACTTCCAGGCAACGCGAGAGAAGACTATCCCGTTCGAAATCAAGATCAAGATCAAGATCAAGGTCAAGATCAAGATCGAAGTCAAGGTCAAGCAAGTTTTCACAGAGGAAGCAATGGAGGAGCGCAAACGCCTTTCTGAATTTTATGCAAGACTTCAGACAAGTAACAAATTACGTGACAAGGATAATATACGCATTATATAAGCAAAACTATCGAATAGAATTCTTTGAAAAATTAATTTATCTTTATAAAATTTCTTTAAAATTGTAGAATTATAATAAGATGAAAAGCAGAGATCTATTTCGGCTTGGGGGACAAGCGTGGCGACGAATGTCGCCCATGGAGAAGTTGCCCTATGTGGAAGCAGCCAAGTTAGCGCAACAACAAACGCAACAGAATAATAAAAGCGCACAACCGAGCAAAGTTAATAGCAGCGACTCCTCGAAGAAGTCCGTGCAAAGGGATCAGAAAAAGAAAGAAAAAGAACGAGAGGTTTATTCGTTAAATAAAATCTTTTATCATTCTCGGAATAAAATTAATCCTATAGTGTGTTTTTATTCGTGTATTTCTTCGAATAGCATCATTAAATTTCTACCTATTCAATCGGTTACATACTGACGTCTCGTAAAGAAAAGAAAGAAAAAAAAAAAAAAAACGTTCCAGAAGCCGAAGAGACGATTCTGAAGTGGAATCAGATTCCGCAACGTCGGGAACAGGAGTGACCAGCGAGGATGTTTCAGACTTGAGCTCTTAGATGCCAATTTGTAGATATTAATTTGATGTAAATTAAATTGACAACAAAAATGTCAAAAAATATATATACACAAAATTTCGATCGAATTTATTTCGATCACGAATCCTCACGTGTTGTAGTCTTTGGTTGCTCCGTTTTGAAATTTGAATAAAATCCAAGATCTCGGAAAAAATAGATTTATCTTTAGATTTTTTTTAGTCGCACTTTCTGTATTTTTCTGTAACTCTCTGTCTTTATTTTTCAAATGAGTTACGGAAAGAATGTTCTCACTGAAATAAAAATTTGGCCTGAAAATAATTTTTTGGATTATTAAAATAATAACCCAATATGATAATAATACTGCAAAAAATTTTAATATTCTAACAATCAATTTGAGCGTTTTTACATAATTATTTCAATAATCCAACAAAATTATAATCAGATTTGTATCTGATCAAATTTTTATAAGCTTTAGCAAAGCCATTTTTTTATATTGTATTTATTTACAAATTTTTATAATTATATTTTGATCAGCCACTTAGCATGATTCTGATTTTGGTGGTGATTTCACTTTATACAATTTTCATCTTTTCATACAATTTTCAGCTTTTCTAAAAACCTTTGGCTTTCTTTCTATATTTTTTTATACTCTTTATTATATATAACATGTAACAAAAAATAACATCTTAACATTTATCTGTCCGCTCACTCACCGTCGCTGGTGCGGCTGAAAGGCATGCCGCAGTTTTCCAGCTCGATGACGGCCTTCGGTGCCTCGCGGGTCATGTAATGAATGGCATCCTGGTCGCCCAGCCAGTCCGAGCCTTTGACGGTGTCGTACATGTGCCACTGCCAATTGTCATCCTCCATGTTGCCCAGAGCGGCGTTGATGCCACCCTGGGCGGCGACCGTGTGCGACCTCGTTGGGAACAGCTTGGTGACCACCGCGGTCTTGAAGCCCTCGGCCACGAGGCCGTAGGCCGCGCGTAACCCGGCACCGCCGGCTCCCACCACCACCGCGTCATACGTGTGGTCCACCAAGGGGTACTGCTTGGAGATCTCGTTAGAGATCTTGGCCGTTCGGTCCGGCGTGTGGTGAATCTTGCGGTTACCGAGGAGCGGCAGTCCCAGCTTGTTCTGCAAAACGGAAACGAGGCGGACATCAACCAGGCGAAATCGCAAAGCTACTAATTGTAATAAGATTATTAACAAATGCGAAATTTGAAAGTATTAACGTGAAATATAAAAATGTTAA